AGAGAGGAAGAAATATCTAGAAACTAGTTTTTAAAAATAAAAGGTAAAAGGCACGAATAAGAAACAAATGAGTCCTATTTGAGTTAACTATTCAGGACATGGTTAAAATTAAAGGATTTCTTTAATCTCCTGCTCAACTGTTAACTCAACTTTTTGACTACTAACCTCTAGGAAAGCCCCCACCACAGGGAGGTCCTTCTGACAGGTCATATAGTAATCAATTAGAATGGAAAAAGAAAGGAGCTGCTTTGAGAAGACATACTAGGAATTGGCAGCTGGACAAAAATAGAAAAAGCATAAAAAGCAGACACAAGAAGTTAGAAGGCTCTGTGGTTGTTAATCATTTTGCATATGTATAGTTCAATACCCCTTACTAAGACAGCCTCTAACAAACACTGCTCTCACACTAGTAAAATAAAGAAAAAAAGTAAAGTGCACATAACAATTTAAGAAAGAAAATTAATATTTTAGAAAATGTTTTCTAAATTAAAGGTTTCAGTTATTTGGAAATTTTAGTTATGTGGAAAAGCTTGAATCTACTAGTTAAATGAAATGGTGCTAAATCTGAATCGCCTAGAACGGTGCTAAATCTGAATCGCCTAGAACAGCGTTTCAAAAAAGGACGTTATCACTCACGGATGTGGGGACTGATGAGCATGGCTGTTAGAAGATCTGGTCTTAACTACAAAAAGTGACCCAATTAAAAAAGTGAGAATGACATTTTGATTTTTGCAGCTAATTTGAAAAGCAAGGAAATGTTAATAAAATTGTGACAATAGAAAATGTATGGCGCACTACTTTTTCTTGTATAAGGCACGCAGTACAAGGTCCTTGCTACTGAAATGATGGTCCAAGGAGCTTGCAGCAGGAGCATCACTTGTCAGCCTGTTAGAAACCTAGAATCTCAGCCAGATTCTGGATCAAACTCTGCATTTTAACAAGGCCTCCAGGTAATTTGTATAAAATTCAAGTTTAAGAAAACCTCATAAAGATAACTAAAGAATGCTGCAGTTCTCCCCAGTTATCCAGTACCAACATCTGGCACTACATTGTGCATCCAATTATCAAGTGAAGAAATAATTCAAAATAATTTAATTTGATTTCAATATAAAACATAACAACCTTCATGTCTTGTTCTAAAATTCTTCTGATTAAGCCCTAAATGTTAAAATTCTAGGATTCAGGTCTGTAGACAGCCAAGTGAGAGGTCCCAAATATATTTCAATTCTCTGGGGAAAAAAGTTCAAGCCCAGATTATTATAAAGGACAATGACAGACACGATTTTACTAGGAAAAATAAAGGACTGAAAAATGCCAAGTGTGAAACAGATGAGCCACTTAATGTTTTTAAATAATCTACTTCACAGTTCCATTTCAAAAAATCAGCAATCAAGTAATCTGGTTGAGTCCTGGCTCAGCCACTAAAAATTAAAGTGTGTGAATGTGTGTGTGTGTGTGTGTGTGTGTGTGTGTGTGTGAACAAATCATAGCCTTTAAAGGCCTCAGTTTCCTCAGCTACAAAAGAGGTTCATCTAAAATAGATAGAAGAGTGTTTCTCAAATTTTACACTCAGTCCACAGCAAGAAATGCAACTTATATTTGGATTCAGTACTAACATACATACATACATACACACACAGAGGGTGCCAAAGAAAATATACACATTTTAAGAAAGGAAAAAACTGCTTTAAAATTTTAATAGTATATACCGATAAGAAAAGTTGAATACAAGTCACATGTATACATTTTTTTGACACCCCCAGTTTATACACAAATGAAAAGACAGTTCACAAAACTTACTCTTAGCATGTTATGGTACACTGGCATTTTATTCTTTTTCTTTTTAATGTTGATCTTGATCTTGATTCATTCCATTGATTTCATGAGCACAGTTTAAGTAACAATGGTCTAGATTATTTCTAAGGTTTTTAATGTAAGGTTTAACATTCCAGAGTTCTTTTCTATCAAGAATTTGGACGAGGGACCACCAGATGAGGTAGAAGGCAGGCTGCACTATCTATGGAGCCCATGAAATCTCTCAAATTGCATGTAAAATTGGGAGTGTGCATTTCTTTTCCTATAAAGAAAAGCCATAGCTGTCATCTTTCAGAGTAATCCATGACTTAAAACACAATAAAATGTTATGAAAACCTAAGATTGATTTGAATATACAAAATATTCATATCACTTTATTCCCGGGCTTTGACTTCTAGTCTATCTCATTAAACACAAATAATGGCTTCTTTCTCCCCCTTGAAATTAAATATAGTTAAAACCTCATCTATTCAATCTGTAACCCAGAAACTATATATATATCCCCTATATATATTGTCAAATTTCACTTCTAAATTTCTTTTCAACTAGCACCACGTCACTTGTTCTAAGCCTCCTGAATTCTAAAGCTGTTATAAGACATGGTTAATCCGCCCTAATGAAGTAAATAGGTCAAGAAACCAGCAATGTTTTAGGAAAATATTTTCAAAATACAACATGCTGATCATGCAGTGTATTTAAGTGTTGGGTATACAAGCAAGAAAACGGACCAAGCTTAAAAGGTTATTAGCTAATAATAGTGGGTTTCAGGTGATGCTTATAATTGCCAGAAAGTTCAATCATCTTTATCTCTTTACATTCAATTCCCAACGATAACAAAATTATAAACAGAATTTAAACTCACTTAGATCACCCTCTTCCCTGGAAGGTTTGCCAGACATCCTACCTTTATTCAGTAGAATCTTATTATGTTCAGTTTGGGAGCTTGAATGAGGTTTAGAACTAAAAGGGACTCTAGAAATCATTTAATGCAACTCTGTCCACAGATAAGGTAACTAGGTGTCCAAAATACTGAGATGTGTGAAAAGTTCACCGTTAAGTAGTAGGGCAATGTCTGGACTGGAGTGCGGATTTCCTGACTGCCTTCCTAATTTTGTCTGTTCCACACACTTTAATGATCAGCCACAGTAATTACCCTACATTTTAACATAATGCTTTATCTTCATATTTCTACTCTACTTTAAAAGGAAAATATATGTGCAAAATTTACAGACATGAAAACCATGAATATACATACTCTGCACACTGCAGGGGGCATACTGTAGGAAGAATGTTAGAAAGACATTTTCTTGACAGAAATGGCGAAGAACTGTAACAAGAAGGAACATAAAAGCATATCAGGAAGCTGCTCAAAAACAGAAGAGGCTCTCCAGGTAAAATGAAAGTTACAACACCAGCTCACGGTTAACGCCAATAAATTTTATGTCAACAACTAACAATGCTGGCAACTCTTGTTTAACCTGCTCTTACTCTGAACTCGTCTAGACTTGTATTTGGTTTACTACAAGACACCTAAACAGACACAGCAGTGAGGTTAACTGAGGTTTAAATAAGGTAGGCTAGAATGAAGAAACGGGTACCACTCCCACAAATTATTAATAGAACACAGCAAAGGCTAGTAATTTAACCTGATCAGTCATGATGGAATAGTGTTCTGTTTTTGCTTATTTTGCTCTTCAATACTGAGTGAAAGTTATGCCTGTGATTTGGAAGGTAAAAAAGATAAGCCACAAAATGTTGGCAGTCCCTAAAGATAGCAGCAGCTACTGGAAAACAGACTATATGCTTTCTAAATTTAGAAATAAACAAGGAGTCAAGTACGGGCAGAATGGTATAGGGAAAAAAGCAAGAACCAATAGCAAGTGATTGTAAAGTTAGTTACTTAGTATATATGAGCCTCATTTTCTTCATCTGCCAAATGGGGTAATTATACCCAGTTCATCCTTCTCAAATTTATTGTGAAGGCAAGATTACATGCCTGTGAAAGCACTTTGATACAAGTTGAAACTGCTCTGCAAAGGTAATCTTCCACTATTAGTAACAAATGTACCCAAAGCAGGAAACATTTGTGATACAACCTTCCAAAACACAAAAACCCAAAGATTAACCTGGCTCCCTGCCCTTGTAATCTTCCAGACTTCAAAACTACTGACATTTCATCCGATTTGGAAACTTGCTCCAGACTCACCCATGGACGAAGCAGGTCCCCAGTTGCTGGGCTTTTGCAGGTGAGTTTCAATAATCAAGAATCACGTTTGTTGTACATTGTTAACAGGTCCCCGCCCAATGCCCAAATCTGCACCTGAACTCAGACTTCAGGCTAGGTGTACACTGGACTTCAAAGCTCCATGAGATCACCTGTTGGCAGATGTCCTGCTGTACCTACCTCCTCAGAGAGCCCCAAGATGCAAGTAGTTGATCTAACCACCCGGCAATGTCTACAGTAGCAACCTAATTTGGCCTCTCTCAACAATGGCACAGTTGGAATTCTAGCACCAAGACAGATAACTAAGACAAGCATTTAGCCAAGGCATACCTAGTGCTGGCTGGAAGAATGAGGCTCATCGACAGTTATCACTAAGTCATCATTTCCTTTTCACCATGCAAGAACTCTAGTTAACCTTCAATTGTACTTGAAATTCGGAAACAAATGCCCAAAGGTAGAATGTGACAATTCTTTGAAAGCAGAAAAGACTATTTTTAAAATTCCATATGGTACTTAAGATGGTATTTGATGATCACAGCTGTGTCTGTGTGTACCTTGTTTGGATTACTAAACAACTCCTCTAAATCCCAAATCATTCTCGATCATATGTTAAATGAGGTGATCTTGAAAAGAAATATATAAATTTTGTCATATGAGATACTCCAAAGATGGCTATTTAAAGAATGCTACTATGAATTCTTTTGTAAAGTTTAAAATACTTTGGTAAACAAGGTAATAACTGCAAATTTTTATATACTCTAGAGGATTTCATAGTAAATTTAAGTGTTGACTACATAATCTCTTATCTTTTCCAACTCTAGATTTCTAAGATTAAAGAATCGGTATAATGTTCA